TTTTGGTCTTGATCGATTTGTTCCAGGACGTTGCGCTGATTGTTTCTCCCTGGTTTTAGATATTCAAAGTATTCTATTACATCAATGGAGAAAACCTTCAAGCACAAGCTTTACGTGGAACCAGACCTTGGTATCCCATTAGATCTTCTCGACCTCAGTGTATACAAGTACGTGGCTTTGCATTTCTAGATGTTGGATTTACGTTCAGACTTGCAGTCCGCCAAAGACGAAGGCTCCTCTAGATCCTGCAGACGCAGAGCTTCTCGTGGACGACGAAGTTGGAGTGAAGCAGAAGGCTGAACTAGCGAGGAGAAAAGAACGGCCTACTGACAAGGGCGTGGCCTGGCTGGTGAAAACTACATACATTTCTCCTGTCAGTATGGATCCTGCTAAGCAGGTAAGGCTTACTTTTTTCGTCTTCTTTCTTTACTTCATGTCCGCCTTCATGCTTGTGTTCAGTCGTTGACGGAAAAACAAGCCAAGGAGCTGAGAGAACAGAAGGAGGGCCGAAAAGGTCCAATCAATGACAGGTGAAGGATCAACGTTGTTGATCAATTTCACAGCACTCAATGCTTTTTCTTCTTGGCAGAGACCACCAAATTCAAGCCATTGAGGAAACTTTCAGGGTTTCTAAGATGGAGCCTGTACATCAAACCAAGCCCGAACTCAAACCTGTGGAAGTTTTACCTTTACTACCAGACTTCTCCAGGTTAAGCATGCAGCTTTCTCGTTTATTATCCTGATTTTGTTTGCTTCTGTAGGTGTGGCGACCAGTTTGTCCATGTAGTTTTTGACACCGAGCCAACCGGGGACTCGGAGCTCTACAGCAAACTTGATCGGAACACAAGGGACTACCTTGAATCTCGAGTACGGTTTCCATTTCAAAACGTGCAATTCTTACTGGTAAATTGGGGTGAAACAGGCGGTTGTAAAGAGTTACTCGTTGCCCAAGGAAGACGGTAAGACGGAAAAGTTTCTGGGCTACATGGTTCCAAAACTAGATGAGGTATTCTTTATTCATTCAGTTATATTTCAAACCTGTGTGTTTTGTACTCAGGCGCATGACGACGACGATGAAATTCCCTATACCTGGATAAGGGAGTATCAATGGGATGTACGTATAGTTTTCTGGTGCGAAAGTATGTCTCATTCTCTTGAAACTCCAGGTCCGTGGAGAAGATGCTCGAAATAACTACGTCTTCTGTTTTGGAAAAGATGCTGTACAATACTTGGTACAAGAAAAATCTGGAGTCGTCTCTAGTATAACAATCTGAACATTTTATGCAGCCAATCAGCTCGAAGCTCATACTACACAAGAAGAAGGCTAGGGAGGGCCGCTCTAAAGACGACGTTGACAATCAATTTTTAGTTCCGTCGAGCGTTACAGTCCGTCGAAGAGACTTGACGGAGGAAGAAGAAGACCAACGAGAGTCCATGCGAAGAATCTTCATGGATGTAAGTCGAAGGTTATGAGTTTTGGTTTCTAGAGACTGAGAGCGCGGTTTTTTTTTCGCAGGGCCGCCTAACTGAGACAGCGATAGAGGAAGAAGCTCCAACGACAAAGAGCAACAAGAGACCCATGGAAATCGAGAGACACTCCACGAAACGAAGACGGCCGTCTTACCAGGAGGAAACAAGAGAGGCTAGCGAAGACGAGGACGTCTCTATTTAAGCGTGCTTTTGGATTTGGACAAGGAAAGCAAACCAAGCTCTGCCAGCGGCGCTTACCAGGTACACAGAGACGCGCTACAGCCATACAACAAAGAGAGAGGGGGAGTTTTTTGCTTTTGGTTTTTAAATTCTTTCTCGTGACGCGAAGTCAATCGCGCTACTGACCCGCAAATCGGCAGCAAGGCAGAGCTCTCGGCTGGCAGAGAACATCACAGAATCGCGAAGATGGTGAACGAAGAAAAGAAGCGACGATGACTTCAGTGGTTCTCGTTCGCGAGAAGACAAGATAGAAAGAAGAAAGGAAGGGTTGGCTTGAGTGTACATTATGGCAGTTAGTACTGACTGACAAAATGCCATGGCAATAAAGTTCCAGATTGCAATTGAAATCGCCCATCTCTCTTGTTATAAGCTTTGTCTTTTTTTTCTTTTTTTTTCCCTTCTTTTCATGTGAGGAACTTTTGTTGTGTTGTGTGTGCGAGTCTGCCTGTCCTTCGGTGGTGGTGCCAATGTACCACACAGCTCCTCTTGGAAAAGGATATGGTCAATGCGCAAAGCGCGTTATCGGCTGTTAGCCTATCGCCTCTTTCGAATCTATTCGATTGTAACTCCAAAAGGAGCCTGTCTGTCTATTTCTCTCGTAGCATTTTCTTTCACAGGCGACCATTGGAGCATTTACGGAACTTTAACTTGGTTTTTTTTTTTTCCTTTGTTTCCTTCCTCTTCAATTTTCTTGCAGTTTTTCTCGTTTCTTCGCCTCGCTCGCTAGCTGTAAACTTGCTTGATTGCACTTTGCTCTCCTTTGTCAAAAAGGCATACCTGGCTCCCTGCGAGAATGTCCAATGTCCATGTCTCTCTCGCTTCTAGAATGCAAGGAAGAATTAAAAAAGACTTGGAGTTTCCCAGAGGAAGTTCTTTACAGAGAAACGAACTCCTAGTCCGCGTGATGCATAAATTCTCTCCCGTCCGTACCTGTCGTACGAGCTGTTCACCATGTGAATCCCCGCGAGGTTTCTCGCAAATCTTGTTTTTCTTTTGTGGCCACCTTTGATTCGCTTCGTATCTTTGCAACAGCGCCGGTGGCGGTTTGGTGCTTGTCGACGTAGCCAAAATCCCCAAATCTTTCCATCCGTAAGGATCGGCTGCGTGGTTGTCTTTAAAAAACGTAAAATTCCGCGAATCCTTGTCATGCTCTCAAGGCAAAAGCTCGAGAACCAACACCGGTCAACTGCACTACAAAAACTCCACTGCGGCGATCTCTGCATTACTTCGTTTCACCCAACACAACAATGTTGTCACCTTTTGTCAAATTTCTTGTTTTTGTTTAGTTTTCTCACACACACATGTTACACATAGAAAAGGATGCACAAGTCAAACAAAAGTATGATAAGAGTGTGTAACTTTTGATGGTACCGCCCACATTCATAAGCTCGAGCTTGTGCTGCAGACTAGACTGATCCTTGGAAGAGATGCATTTTGCATTTTGCATTCTGCATCTCAGGACAAGACCTGTTTGGTGCTCATTTTCAATTTCAAGAAACCAAACAGATTACAAGATCAGGATCAACAGTGTAGTGCACCAACCATGTTCTGGGTGAACCTTCTTGTAAAGCTTTCGTTTTTTTCGTTGTTTTAAATGCAATTTGTTTGGAGTGACCATGTGAAAGGAGGGCCTGCCCTGCACAGTGACAAGTTAGAAATGGCTGCGCTCTCATGTGACCGTGGCAGCAACAAGCTGCCGTATCTATCACACCATATGTACCAGAGATATTTTTCTCCTTTCTTAGTCTCGAGCAGTCGATACTCGAGAGAAGAGAGAATCCAAGAGTTTAACACCACAGGGAGAAACATCACCAGGTTTGACCCCTCGAGAGACTGGAAGGAAAACAAACGCGTAATGTCGGTGTTTGCCTCTCAACTCGGTATAAAATTGTTGAAAACAGCACATACATGTAGATATATCCGGAACGAATAGTCAGAAATTAAAACGACTGACACAGAGAGAAAGAGAGAGACACGAACAAGACGAAGTTCCCTCATGCTCTTTTCATGTGCTGCTTGTCTGAAATTTTCTTCTGGATCGTCATCTAGCTAAAGATCTTAGACTTGTTTTTCTTTTTTTTCTTCGCCTCACAATTATATAGGATCCAATCCAATCCAACAAGGCAACAGAAACAAGTTGGATATTCCCAAGCTCTCTGAGTTGCTGTTTGCTAAATGATTATAATTCCCATGTTGTGCCATGTTAGATCTAGCCTAGGATGGATAGAAGGCATGCATTGCATTCTGATCTAGGGTGTGTGTCCTTGTGGGATTTGCTGCTCCAGAGTGGGGCCTGGGCTGCTCCCAGTGACATGACACCATTGCGTGCTCCGTTTTGTGCTCTCCCTTTGGTGCCTTGCAGATTAAAACCACGTAACGTTCAAACCATCTTCTTCATTTCTTTCCCCTTCCCCAAAGACCTTTTCCCCCTTCAGAAAATACAAAACTTGAGTAACATGGATATGAAGTTTGGGCATTTGTCTTGCTTGCCTCAAAGTCACCACATCAACAGTGGAGTCACTTGCGAAACAGGAGCGGCGGACCCCAACTGGAGATTGAACCGGGGGCTTAGTACTAAAGGATTCGTGGAAACTATGACCCCCCTTTGTACAAATCCCTGGTGTCCGAAGGACTTGCTTGCCCAAGTTGGCGCTCCACAGTTGCGGAATTAGTTTGGGAGCGGGGCCATGCCCCCACAAGTGGGGGTTAAAAGTAACAAGATATTCCCTTTACCGGGTCCGGGAACTGTGGCAGCATCGCGGGGGAGTGTTTTTATGATTGTCTTGGCTAGTCTAAGTGGTGGCGGCACATTTGGAAAACATGACGAGGAGCACAATGCCTTTGGCATGATCACCACCACCTTTGTGTTTGAACCTGAGCCCGCCCGCCCCCCGCCCGCCATCCAGCTTTTAAATTACATTTCATGAACAACGGCAGACACCAAGCACGAATGGGGGCTTGTATTTTATCTGGTTTTGTGCGGCTGGTGGTGGTGCGTGGTGGTGGGTTTTTTTGTTTGATTAGGCCTAATTGATTAGCTTTGGATCAACTTTTGATTTGTGGGTGGAATATGCTGTTGTTGGCGGCAGGAGCAGCAGCAGAGCAGCCAGATGGTTATAAATGCCAAGCAGGTGAGCCCTATTTAATAGTCTTTGACCCATGCCTCTTTTTTTTTTTTTTTTCTTCAGCCATGCAAGCAAGCAAGCAATGCTACTACAAAACAAGACTACACACAAAACTCTCAGGACAAGTGGACAACACACACAAACGAAGCGCCAAAAAGAGAAAATGAAAATCATCTCATTTCTTGAGCAGAATTAACCAAGACAATGCAGCAGGACACTGACTCTGACTGTCCTGAATGAATGGGGTCGCAAATTAGAAGGAGAAGAAGAAAGAAGAAGAAGCTGGGAGGAAGATCACTCCCTTGTGTGTGTCTGTCCGTTCGCCATAGCCAATAAGAACCCTAAAAACTGGACGGGGGGTGGAAGGGAAAGCGCGAGAGAATTCCCTCCGTTGGGTTGCCCGGAAGAGACGACTTTGAGGTTCTGTTTGTTGAATCCGTCCGACATGCTCAACGGTTGCGGGACCCTCGAATTTTCTCACTCTTCGCGATTTAAATCTCTTTGTTTTTCCTATTTTTTTTTCTCTCTAGCCAGCCAGCCCAGCTCTGTTCCTGCTAGTAGCCATTTCCCGCTCCTCCTTTTAATTGCTACTCGTCGAAGTGCATAGAAGTAAAGTTTTGCGCTCATTCCCCTCAGAGCTCCAGACGAAAAGAGTGTTCTTCTCTTCTGTGCTCGTTCTCCACTGTTCCTTCTCCCTTCTTGTTCGTTGTTCTTGAGGTTGCTCGCTTAATTGGTGCTGGAATTGTATCGCGAATCCATCGAGAATGGGGAGGCCGCAGCGGTACCGGGGCGTGAGGCAACGCCACTGGGGCTCTTGGGTCAGCGAGATCCGACACCCTCTGCTGTAAGCTCCGCCCAAAATCCAGAGTCTTTTCTCTTGTCGCTCGGGGAAGATAGCTGAAGAACAGAGCTTGCATTGTCTCTCTCTCTCTCTCTCTCTCTCTCTCTCCCCCCCTCTCGTCTATTTCACGGCGAAAGAAAGAGAGGAGTGCTTGGTCAATTCCCACTTTAAAAGATGGCCTGCATTGTCCAAGTTAGAATCTAAGAAGGAACACCTTTTCCCTTACTCTTTACTTGTCGAGAAGTCTGTAGATCAATCCAAAGTCTAGAGCTCCGCAAGTGTTGATCGATCGGATCTCCATGGTAGACGAGCAGCGGGCAGGATCATCTTAGATTTTTCTTTCCTTGTCTTGCTGTTCTTGGCGAGGATTGATGGGATTCCTTGAATGCAGGAAGACGAGAGTGTGGCTGGGCACATTCGAGACCGCCGAGGACGCCGCCCGTGCCTACGACGAGGCCGCCAGATTGATGGGAGGCCCCCGGGCAAGAACGAACTTCCCCTACGATCCCAATGCGCCGCCACATCCATCCTCCTCGACGCTCCTCTCCACGCTCAGCGCCAAGCTCAATCGATGCTTCTCCTCCTCCTCCTCGTCTTCCTCCTGCTCCACCGATCCCCACAAGAAGGATCCTAGGGTTTCGCAATCCCTGACGTGCTTGCGCCTGGATCCCGAGCAATCCAACCTGGGAATCTGGCAGAAGAAATCGGGCAGGCAGCCCGAATCCAACTGGGTGATGAAGGTACACTTTGGAAGCCAGGGCGGCGGTGGCGTGAGCAGCGACATTGTTCTTCCCACCGATAATCCCGCGCCGCCACAGCCGATAGAGCACAAGAAGATGAAGAGCGAGGAAGATCTGGCCACCGAGATGATCGAGGAGCTCCTCAACTTCCCGGATTCCTCTTCGCCGTCGTCGAGCACGAGTTCCTCCGAGGCGAAGAACCCTAATTTTTCTTCCTCCGATCTCCTCCACCATATACTCGTATAGAGGATCGAGCAGCGCTGGGCACACGATCGAGAGAGATCGCCGGGGCTGCTGATCTGGAGAAAATATTTCTTAGATTTAGCTATACTATCGGGGCTAGAACCCTAATTAATCGTTCTTTGTTCTAGCAATGGAAGCGCGATTCGCGAAGGTTTCTCTCGGATTGTCTGATCTTTTCTTGACCATTTCCTTCGAATCGCAGCTCCCGAGATTCGTGACAGTGACGATCGAGGTCCCGCGCCGGAGCTTCGTGAAGCGGCGCGTCGATGGATCCGTGGATTTCATCGCGCCGCTGCCCTGCCCATTCAATTACGGCTCGGTCTCGTCGATCCCAGCTCCCGACGGTAGGGGTAAATCTCCATCGCTTTTGGATCGACTGTTCACGGCAATCCAATCCACAATGCAGGTGATCCACTGGACGCCCTTGTTCTTGGCGAAATCCTCCCATACAATGCCGCTACCACGCACCGGGTCGTGGGCGTCGTTCGATTCACCGACGCTGGATTCACGGACAACAAGCTCGTTTGCGTCCAGGCCGATCGAAATCTCAAGCGCAGGAAGGAGGAGCTCCTCTCAATCTCAATGTGGCGCAAGAAGAACTCCAGCGCCGCCGCCAAAGCCATGATCCGAGAATCCATCGACGACGATCATCTCCGGCTCCTCGATTACTGCTCGCTCACCGCCTTCTTCGGAATCTACGCGATTTTCAAGCGGGGGCTCAATGCAGCCAGGGGCCGTGGCGGCGAGACGGTGTTCCATGGCGTGGAAATCTTCCCTCCATCGCCATAGCTTCCTCCTCGCATGACCCGGCACTTGGCGGGATCTCGGCCGTCGGATATTTTAGGGTTTTTCTGTTTTGGTGGCAGCATTCTCTCTGGAGGGGTAGCGATGGCGTCCGCGATGACGAGGTTGGGAAGGAGGGGGATTGGCTCCGCGCGATGGAGCTCCATGGCCGTGGCTGGGCAGCAGAGCAGGGCCAGCCACAGCTTCACGCTCCCGGATTTGGATTACGACTATGGCGAGCTGGAGCCGGCCATCAGCGGCGAGATTATGAAGCTCCATCACACTAAGCACCACCAGACTTACATCACGAATTTCGTCAAGGCGCTGGAGCAGCTGGAGCAGGCCGAGAAGGATGGGAATGCCGAGGCAATCGTCAAGCTCCAGGGTGCTATCAATTTCAATGGAGGAGGTAAGCGTAGCTTCTGGGCACAGGAATCTCACTTTTCCTTACAATCTTCCTTTTGTGTTTTCTTTTTTTTTTTCCTGTCTTTACAGGACATGTGAATCACTCGATCTTCTGGAAGAACCTGGCGCCCTCAAAAGTAAGCTAGATCTGCTGGGCACAAAACTTTTCTTCTCTTGTGATTTTTAGAGTGGAGGTGGTGAGCCACCAGAGGGAAAGCTTGCTTCGGCGATCAAGGACGAGTTTGGATCGCTGGAGAAACTTATCGCTAAGATGAATGCGGATGGAGCTGCTCTTCAAGGCTCTGGATGGGTGGTATGTGTCTTTCTTTTTTCTTTTATCTTTCATGAACTCTATGGCTTGATCAGTGGCTGGGACTGAACAAGGATCTCAAACAGCTTGCTGTGCAGACCACTGCGAATCAGGTCTATGACGGCGCGTTGTTTCCAGTCCTAGATTTCTCTAAACTTTTAAAGTTGCAGGACCCTCTTGCGTCGAAAGGTCTTGTGCCTCTTCTGGGAATTGATGTGTGGGAGCACGCTTATTATCTCCAGGCATGGACTGATGTAAAATCGATTTAGCTTTCTAGCAGTGATGTTTTTTTTTTCAGTACAAAAATGTCAAGCCGGACTACCTCAAGAACATCTGGAAAGTGATCAACTGGAGCGACGTTTCTAGCAGATACGAGGCAAATTTGTAGGTTTCTCTTGGTTTTCCGAGGTTTGTATCATCACACCAAATAAGGAGAGTTTCTTCCACACAAGATGCTAATAGGATATTCGGCGAAGGCTAATTTTTACTTAGTATTCGAACTCGTGACCTCCTTAGGTACATTTTAGGGTTTTAGAGAGAAGCAATGGCGGAGGTGGAAGTGGATCGGCCGCGGATGCTGGCGCTGTCGGAATATCGCAGGAAGAAGATGCAATCGCGCGAGTACCAGGCCAGAATACGAACTAGTGAGTGGTTTCGATTGATTTCAGGGCTCCAAATTCAAGTCTTGCAGTCCGCGATAACCTGAGGGCATCGAAGAAGGAGTTTGAGAAGACCGAGGACGATCTCAAGGCGTTGCAGAGCGTCGGGCAGATTATAGGCGAAGTGCTGAGGCAGCTCGACAATGAACGCTGTGAGTACTTGGCTTGGCATCCTCGTTTGTGATCTAACGTTTCTCTTCTCTCTTTTTGCTACTTGTCTGTAGTGATTGTCAAGGCAAGCAGCGGGCCGCGCTATGTTGTTGGGTGTAGAAACAAAGTCGACAAGGAGAAGCTCGTTGCAGGAACTAGGGTAGCGCTCGACATGACTACTCTCACGATCATGCGAGCTTTGCCGAGAGAGGTACTGTGTTTCTTGCGCTCTAAGCGATTACCATTTTAATACTTGTGTTTGTTTAGGTGGATCCCGTTGTGCACAATATGCTCCATGAAGATCCAGGCAACATCAGCTACTCGGCTGTCGGGGGCCTCAGCGATCAGATCCGGGAGCTGCGAGAATCCATAGAGCTTCCGCTTATGAATCCGGAGCTCTTTCTCCGTGTTGGTATCAAGCCGCCGAAGGTAAATTGCGAGCTTAACTTGTTCTTGTTATCAATATTTTCAACTGTTGTAGGGAGTGCTGCTATACGGGCCTCCAGGGACAGGAAAGACCCTACTGGCGAGAGCTATTGCAAGTAACATCGATGCTAACTTTTTGAAAGTAAGTTTTGAAAAGCTTGAAGTTCTTTGCGTGCTAAGGCTGTCTACGTTTACAGGTGGTGTCGAGTGCTATCGTCGACAAGTACATTGGTGAGAGTGCTCGGCTAATCCGTGAAATGTTCGGCTATGCTCGTGATCACCAAGTATGTCGCGCTAGCTTATCAAAACATTGACATTTTTCTTTTCCTTTGCAGCCGTGCATCATTTTCATGGATGAAATCGACGCTATAGGCGGACGGAGGTTCAGTGAAGGTACCAGTGCTGACAGAGAAATCCAAAGAACACTTATGGAACTCTTAAATCAGCTAGATGGGTTTGATCAGCTTGGAAAGGTAGGGATTGAAAGTTTCTCATGTTCTATATAGTTGGCCTCTTGTCCAGGTGAAAATGATCATGGCAACCAACAGACCCGATGTCTTGGATCCAGCGCTCCTGAGACCTGGTCGTTTGGACCGAAAGATCGAGATTCCGTTGCCCAACGAACAAGGGAGGATCGAAGTGTTGAAGATTCACTCCGCTGGTATCCTGAAGCACGGTGAAATTGACTATGAGGCCATTGTGAAGCTCGCCGAGGTACTAGAGCCTGTCCTTCGTTTTCTATGCTCATGTCTCTCATGTTACCAGGGATTCAACGGGGCTGATTTGAGGAACGTCTGCACAGAAGCTGGGATGTTTGCCATCAGAGCGGACCGTGACTACGTGATCCAAGAAGACTTTATGAAGGTAAATGCCGTTCATATTATCCTTTTCATTCTCAAATGTGTGACTTCCAGGCCGTGAGGAAGCTAAACGACGCCAAGAAGCTGGAATCAAGCGCTCACTATAGCGCAGACTTTGGCAAGGACTAAGGACATTTTTTTCTTCCTTTATGCTAGCTTTTTCTTACAAAGTTTATGTCTCGTCTTGGATAAGCTCCTGGATAAAGCTAGGATCCACGTCGAGGATTGGGTGAGGTTCGAGCTTACAGCGAGAATAAGATTGGGTGCTGTAGATTGCATCGGAGGGGAAGGAGCGAGCCGTGGGCTGGCCATTGGGAGCGATAAAGTGGTGTGGAATTTCCTCCAGGCTCCGGCTCTCCAGCTCCAACGCCAGGCGGAGCTCCTTTTGGCGGCGGCGCTCCTCGGCCACATCTTTGAGCCTCTGGCGCTGCGCTCGCTCCATGAGCTGTCGCCTCTTTCGCTGCTGCTTTGCCCATTCCCACTTTGTTATGCCGCCAGGAAATGTTCGAGGGCCCCCGCCCATCATCTCCACCGCCAATGCAGCCATGGTAGTCAAAACTGGACTTGCTTGTGATTAAGAAATACTAAAAATTTGAATATTCTAACAAATTTTATCTGGTGTCTAATTAGTGCAACTCTAAGAAATGAAATGAAATATTTAGTTATTTCCTAAAAAACTAAAATAAACTGAATTAATTATTTAAACTTACTTGGTAAACAATAAAAACAATAATGTAATAATAGAGGCTTCTCCCCTTTATTTTATACTTCTTTATGTTTCATTCACTTTTTTCACTTTTGTACCTTTTTGTCCTTTTATTTTTATCTGTGCTTCCATTACTTTTAGTCCCCCATTATTTCCTCCTATGTTTCTATTGTGTTCTACTTTTCCTTTTTCTAATCCCTCCGACGATCTTTGTGTTGCAGTGGTGGACTGACTCATGAAGGAGTATTCTGATATTTTTCAATTTGACCTATTGTCTGGGGCCAAGATTGCCACACGTCATCCAATTCCAACCGGGGATGCTCGTCTAATCAAAGTTCCCGTTCGTCGTCGGTCACCCAAGGAAATCAAGATTTTACATGCAAATGTCAAGGAGATGTTAGAGAAGATTGTTATTCAAAAGTCGCAGAGTCCTTGGGCATGTGAACCTCATCTTGTGATGAAGCCTGATAGGAGTATTCGTTTCTGCATCAACTATCATCCGTTAAACGAAGTGACGATCCTAGATGTGTACCCTCTTTTTCACATTGCTAATCTTTTGGATCGTCTGGGGTAGATTTTGCTTCTGGGTACTGGCAAGTACCAATGGCCGAAGACAATATTCCCAAGACTGCTTTTCGTACACCATTTGGTTTGTACAAGTTCTTGGTGATGCCATTTGGTTTGAACAATGCTCTAGCAACTTTCCAACGGATGATGGATGAGGTTCTTTGTGATATGCCAGAGGTGACTACTGACTTCATTGATGATGGCTTGATCCACTCAGAAGGGACGTGGGAGGAGCACGTTTGTGATGTTTGTAAAGTGTTGGATCGGCTACATGACGTTGGTTTAAGCTGAAGCGGTTGAAGTGCGTGTTTGGGTCTAAGGATACAATTTATTTTGGGTACCGTATTTCTCGTGAGGATTTGCAAGTTGATCTTGACAAACTTATGGCTATTCTAAAGTTCCCTACTCCAAAGTGTGTGAATGATGTGCAATGCTTCTTGGGCAAGGTGCAGTATCTCGGTCGTTTTGTGGATCATCTTTCTGATCGCACTGCACCATTGCAAGCATTGCTGAAGTCATTAACGTCATCTTTCATCTGGTCTCCGGATTGTGAGCGGGTGTTCGGGTCTCAAAGAGCTATTGACAACTCCTCTGGTTTTGGTATATCCTAACTACACTCGACCTTTTATATATGATTTTGATGTTGTTAATCGCCTAGGGAGTTCTATGGCTAATGTTGATGCCCTTTCTCGAGCTCTTCTTCCTTCTCCATTCTCTTCTCATGTTTCTGATGAGCTTATTGTTCCAGCCTCTATGGATTTTCTAGACGAGGATTCTGTGCCGTTGGTGGTTGCTGTACTTGACATTTAGTGTCCATAAGGTGCAGAGCAAGATTTACCTTCTCTTGATGAGGTTCGTGAGGCTCAAAAGATTGAGCCGTGGATTCGAAGGCTTCGAGATGGGTTTAAGAATCCTGCATCACTTGCTGATGACTTGCTTTTCCGGCATTTACATTCTCAATATTGCTTTGAAGATGGCCTTCTTTATTTTGTGGGGATGGATATTAATGATCATTTACGGCCAGTGGTGCCTTTTATCTTTATTCTGTAGTTTCTCCATGCCTACCATGATTCTCCTATTCTAAGTGGGCATATGGGACATCGTCGTGTAACTGAGAAGCTGCGCAGGTCTTTCTATTAGCCGGAGATGCGACGTGATATTATTCGGTATATGCGTAGCTGTGTTTGGTGCCAAACTCGTAATACTCCCCCTCGAGCTATGGAAGGACGGTTGGAGTCAATTGTAGTTTCCCGTCTGTTTGAGTTGGTGGCGTTTGATTTTATGGGACCTTTTCCACGGTCGACTACTGGCAATGAGTATATTATTATTGCTTCTAACTACTTGACCCGTTGGGTAGAAGTTGGTGCTCTTGCTAGTGCCTCTGCAATTGCTATTGGATACTTCCTCCTTAATCAAGTAGTGTTCCAGCATTCTTATCAAGAGCGGATTCTTTTGGATAATGGTCCCACATTTATGGCTGAGGCATTTCATGTTTTGACGTCTCGGTTGGGGATACGTCACACTTTCACGAGTGCTTATCATCCACAATCAGACGGTCTGGTGAAACGGCTCGTTCGGACATTCAAGGGGATGATTGCGAAGTATGTGAACTTTCAGCATTCGGATTGGGATGGTTATTTGCCGTCTCTTCGGTATGCATATGTCATAGGGGTGCAAAATTCTATTGGTGCTTCACCATATAAACTTCTATATGGTCATGATCCAATATTATCAACGGAGTTGGGTTTACCTTCGCGATTGCCATGGGCTGCCGATGCTAGGTCGTGGGATCAGTATTTGGCAAACATCCTTCCACTTGTCCGAGCAGAGTCTGCCAAACACTTAGGCTGTGTACAAGTGGGACAACAACGGCAGTACAACTCCCATCATCATCCACCTGCGGAGTACAAAGTGGATGATTTGGTATTAGTACATTTTCCCCATCTTACGGTACGTGGTTTATCTAAGGGGCTCCTTGTGCAGTGGAAAGGACCGTATTGGGTGTTACGGCAAGTTGGACCACAAGTTTATGAGGTTTGGCATGACGTCCAGCAGGCAGATCCTCTAGAGATTGTGCATGTGCAGCGGTTGAAACACTTCATAGAAAGGGATCAGGAGTAGTTAATACCACCTACAAATCCGCCGATGCCTCCTCTTGACGTTCCTCCATCCCAGCCTATCTATAAGAGAACCCTGATGGTCTTCCATTATTCCGAGAGGAGGGGATGATTATTCCGATCCCTCCGATGATCTTTGTGTTGCAATGGTGGACCGACTCATGAAGGAGTATGTTGATCTTTTTGAATTTGACCTATCATCTGGGGCTAAAATTGCCACATATTATCCAATTCTAACCGGGGATGTTCATCCAATCAAGGTTCCCGTTTGTCGTCGGTCACCCGACAAAGAGATCAAGATTTTACGTGCAAATGTCAAAGAGATGTTGGAGAAGGGTGTTATTCAAAAGTCATGGAGTCCTTGGGCATGTAAACCTCATCTTGTGACAAAGCCTGATAGGAGTCATTTTTGCATTGACTATCGTTCGTTAAACAAAGTGACGATCCTATATATATACCCTCTTCCTCATACTGCTGATCTCTTGGATTGTCTAGGGCGAAGTCGTTTGTTCACCAAGCTAGATCTTGCTTTTGGGTATTGGCAAGTACTGATGGCAAAGATGATGCAATTGTTGGAAGGCATCATCACAGTTGTTAGCATGTCAGAAGGCGCGTTTGAAGACATCTGGGAGAACACTCCAATCCTCACGAGTGGCTACGCTCAAACCATTGTACCACTGCAACGTCGTCCCATTGATTGTTTCATGTTTTATATATTAAGTGCATGGAATATGGAAATGGAAATTGAGAATTATCTCGAAAACTTTAATTTATATATAGGAGGGAGTGATTCAGATTGAAAACAATCCGACAACTATCAAAATCCCACTAGACTAATATTAGTATATGGCATCATAATTATACATTTGGAACTCATATCATCCCCTCATCTTGAAATGATGGAAAATAATTAAAGTTCTCTAGTGGATATGTTAGGATTTGAAAGAACATCATGAGGAGTTCAATAAAAGGGACTATATTGGGTGTTATAGTAAGTTAAATCACAAGTTTATGAAGTTTGACATGACGTTTAATAGGTTGATCCTCTAGAAATTATACATATCTAATGGTTAAAATACTTTATTCAAAGGGATTAATAACAACTGACACCATTTACAAATCCACTAATGCAGCCCCTTAAACAAATTATATATCGTAAGATTGGGAAAATAGACTAGCACGAAGTCATCCATTTTATACTCTATAGGTAGACAATGATAGGAGTTGTAGTGTTGTTGTTGTTTTATTTGTACATGGCCCAAGTGTTTAGTAGATTAATGGAAGAATGTTTGTCAAATATTAATCCCAAAACCTAACATTAGCAACTTATAGCAATTGTGAAGGTAAATTCAACTTTATTAGTAGTATTGGATCATGACTATATAAAAGTTTATATAGTGAAGCACTAATAGAACTCTACACCCTTATGGTATATACATACTAAAGAGACGGCAAATAACCATCCCAATTCGAATGCTGAAAATTTATGTATTTCGTGATCATCCCTTTGAAGGTTTGAACAAGTCTTTTCACCTACCTTAACCATAAAAGTGGGACTATTATCTGAAAGAATTCGCTCTAAATAGGAATGTTGGAATACTACTTGTGAAATTGTGGTGTATCCTCAACCAAGACGTTAAAACGTAAAATGCTTCAACTATAAGAGCGGGACCATTATCTGAAAGAATTCATTCCAGACCAAAATACTAAAGCACCACTTGATTAAGGAGGAAGTATTTAATAGCAATTACAAATGCACTGACAAGAGCATTGACTTCCACCT